AAAAAAAAAAAAAACAACAACAAAAAAACAAAAAACAAAACATGCAATAATAAATGTTCCATTTAATGGAGTCTGGTCAAATTAAATTGACTTGTATACACCGACGATATACCAAGCATATTTACCTTAATGATTAATTGTTTGAATAAATGAACCACTGATTTTATATATTTCAGTTGCATTTCACTCGGACGTTTTGGTCTCAATGCTTCATGTTTGATTTTGAAAGTGTAAAATCTTTTACTTTGTGATATACTGAATATTACAGTAACATACTTTGTGATTTATCACCTTTTTTTAACCGCATGTAATGTCCTCAGATTTAAACTTTGTCAGTATTTGTTTTAGCCAATTAAAAAAAGTTATTACTTCAGTTATTTATTTATTTATTTATGTGATTAAAAATGAGATTATCAAGGTTGCCAGGTCACATGACCCCTTTTGGTTCTGGTATTCCCAGAGAATTTTAATTTATTTAATAAAATGTCGTTATTTGGTGTCCCTTTAACAATACTACATCACCAAGGATGATATCATGATTCTATGGGTTCCAATAACTACCAAGTAACTACAGTATAATTACACTGTAATCTGCAGTTAAGCCTGAATGTACCCATTAATTGTTCTAACTTACTTCTCCTTCATCTTCTTCATCCTCCTCTTCACCCTCATTGTCTTCCTCCTCCTGCTGCCCCTCCTCATCCTCCCTGACATATTCATCCTCATCTTCCTCGTCCTCCTCGTTTCCATCCTCCTCCTCCTCACCCTTGTACCGCTCCCGCTCAAACTGCCGTGTAGCCTCATCGCTCGCTTTCTCCATTACTCTCTTCTGCTGGGGCTCCTTCACCTCCACCTCCTTTGCTGCCTCTTCCTTCTTAAATCCAGTCTCTGTTTTCTCAGAGTCGGGCTCTTTGTCTCCTTCCTCGCCCTCCTCCTTCTTCTTCTCACTGTCCTCCTTCTTCTCTTCCCCCGTCTTTTGGTCCTCGTCTTCCTCTTTCTCCCTGCCCTGCACCTCCTGCTGTTCCTCCTCCTGCACCCGTTTCATCTTCCTGACGAGTTCATCCAGCTCCTCTTGCTTCTCCTTCCTCTCCCTCTCCTGCTCTGGCTTGCCCTTGCTGTCCTGCTCCTTGAGCAGCTCCTTCAACTCTTTTTCCACCTTCTCTTTCTCCACCATCAGTTCCACCTCATTCTTCCTCCTCTCCTCGAGCCTCTGCTTCTCCAAGTCCTCCACCATTTCCTCCTTCTTTTCTTTGTCCTGCTGCTCCTTCTTCTTGTCCTCCACCTTGTCCTTGTGCTCCGTCCCAGCGCCTTTCTGGATCTCCCTCTCCTTCACCACCTCATACCTCTTCTTTTTAAGCTCCTTCAGCAGCTCTTTGAGCTCTTCGTCATTTCTCTCCTCCTTGCCTTTCTTGGCGAGCTCTTCGGCAAGCAACTCCTCGAGCTCCTTGGCTCGTTCCTCCTCGTCATCCCTCTCTCTGTCTTCAATGCGCGGCTCCTCCATCACCTTCTCCTTGGTGTCATCATCCTCTGTTTTGTCTTCTTCCTCTCCCTCTGTCTCCTTTGCGAGGTTGCTCAGATCTCTCTCGTCCTCGCCCGTCTCCTCGAAGTCATTCTCATCCTTCTCGTCATTGGCCAGATTGTACTCGTACCGCTGCCGTTCATCATCATGCTCCTTATCTCTCTCTGAAAAATGGAAACAGTCAGTGTGACATAAAAAAAGACAACAAATATAAGTGCCCATGTTTTATGGGTTTTTTTAGTAGTAATATCTTAAAAACAACATCAGACTGAGGCAGTGTGAATTTATGTGTACCATCATCAGCCAGTTTCTGCAGCTCCCTGAGAAGACCCTGATGCCTGTGCACCTCATCAAGTTCATCTGCAAAAAACAATTAGACACAAGCGAGCCTAATCACCGTGCAATCAAACCGCACACACCAAACCCTGCATGACACCATCTGATCTCTTAAGAACAGCTAATTGGTTACCTACCTGCTAGCTGTGGGCCACAATCGTGCAGTGACCCATCTTCATTCAGTGTCTCCTGAATAATACATTCAACCTAATGGTACAATACACACACACACACACACACACACACACACACACACACACACACACACACACACACACACACACACACACACACACACATATTTTACAGTTGAGTAATTAAAAAGCAGCAGACTGATGGATGAAATTCAAAAATAAAGTCTTGTTCCTCACCTTTGCATCATTAAGGGGTGAGATTACTGGCCGGCTTCCCACTGAAACACGAACACAGACAGAAACGCAGAGTGAACACGGTGAGGCACGGAGGGACAATTGGACTAAAAATCAATGTAATCAGCAGTTTTCTATCAGTAAAAGGAGCTGAAACCTTGCACCACAGATGAAGTAGTTTGTTTACTTTCCAACCATTTGCTCTGTGCAAGCGTAGGTGGAGCTGTTCCCTTGTTAATGTGCTTAACTCCCAGTCCCCCCTTCTCTCTCGCACTCCAGGATGCAGTCGTTCCCAGAAGCTTTAGCTCACAAGGTCGTTTCCCACCCGGGTTAAATCAGTCACCAATACCACACAAGCCAGCCAGTCATTAAAGGCACACTAAGCTGCTCTGCTGGTGCCTTTTCCTCACGGTGATACACTGCATCTAGCGAGGACCAAGAATCCATGTTCATCCTGCAGCCTGCAGCCTGCAACCCTCTCCTTCATTATTGCGCGCCGGGAGCGAGGACTGTTTGAAGTGTGAGACGTGATGCTGCTCAGTTCCAGCAGCTTTATTCACTCTTTGTTTACAAATGTCATCGCACATGTTAACTTTACTTTACAAGATTGTTTTTTGTTTTTTTTAGTGGTACTTCGCCATCACAATTATGAAGAAAATCATGCATAAATAAAGGCAAATATCATCAAGTCTGGGCCCCTGACATAAAAAGGGAAAAATAAATAAGTTTTTAACTGTCATAATATTTTTTGACTGACTTAAAATGCCTAATGAGCATGTACTTCTATTAGCATGAAGTGCATTTTTCTTCCAAAACCACCACTGCCAAGCATACCACACTAACAGTGCCACCCAAAATACACAAAGGAGAATTTCTCTAAGGAAGTTTCTAAGGAATTACTCACATCTACAAAAAATATATATATCTCTGAGTCACATAATGGAAATCAACAGTTGTTTTGTTTTCTTAGTGTTTCTCATCAGCTTATTTATTAAAACCACTTCACTTTGATTGTGTCTATCAGCTAACAACAACGGTTTTGTTTGAAAGACTCCATAAAGGTTCACTTCATCAAACATGACTTCAAATGTTATGTATTCACAAATAATTATAAATAATAAAAGACACTGAGGAAAATTAAAGCTCTGACTTTTATCTGGGCTCTGTGGGATCGCAGCTCGCAGCCCGATCAGTGCAGGATCAATATGGGACCAGCTGATACCACTGGTGCCCCCTCGCAGACACGTGAGCTGCCTACAGTTTGGCCTTTTAACAGTCTGCATGTCCATGTGATGACGAAGTGTGTGTGTGCAAGCTGGGACACCCCAGCGCCATAATTATCACCGTGATCTGGCTTTATTTCGGCTTGTCCGCTCAGAAATGAATACACGTGTCCAAGTCAAATTAGTGGAGTACACGAGCTGCTCAACAAGCCCCCAAATGTCTGTCTGCATCAGGAATAGGTGCATTTATTATGGGGGGTGGGGGTGGGGGGTGGTGAAGGATGCGCAATATGGAGTGTTGGCTTTGACAGATGTGGAGCGGCAGTTGCATTATGCAGTATTTTATATCCATTTTAATGTAATAATAGATTTGGTTGTATAGTGTTAGGGTGGGGTTATTGCCCTCACACACTGCGACACAACTCTAACCCACAGCTTGTAGTATCCTCTATAGGTTACTGACAGAGCTGTGCGCCCCTGCAGACACGCGCGTGTGTGTGAAGCACACTCCCCCCAGATTATAATTGATTACGCTGGCTCTCGCAGTGGCTGGCGCGTGCAGCTGAGCATCACGCGCACGTGTGCGCTGTTCCGCTCACCTGCGCGCGGAGCTTTTTCCATTTGGATTAGTAGCGGACAAAGCCGGGAGTCCCTAAACACTGAAATACTCCTGTGTGTGTGAAATGTGTCTACGGGCAGAAGCAGCATCGCCCCACAGGCACACAAACACAAAGGTGGGCGCACAACAAATTATGTAACAACGCTCCTGTTTAGCCTATTAGTCTTAAACCCCTGCGGATTCCGCCATTAGGTTAGCATAAAGCGCCAGTCTGCGCCACAAAGTAGCGCTAAAACGCGTTTATTGTGTGTGTTTCTATCACAAAGCCGGCTCCATGGCGGTAAAAAGAGTAGCTGAGGTAGTAGCGTGTAAAGAACTGGGTCGTCTTCGGCTTAGCTTGCCAATTTTTTGCCGCCACTTCACACTAAAAGCGCCCTGCATGCACACAGTGTGTGTGTTTAATGGATGTGATGAATGCTTACCTCCGACGGCAGCCCAGAGAAACACCGCGGTTATCAGAATTCCCATAGGATCCGGAAAGTGAGGCTCCTGCAGGAGATAACCTTGAAATAACGGGCTGGATCTTCTTCACACACCCGCCGAGCGAGGTGGAGCCGAGCCGCGGAGCACAGTCCTCTGTGTGTGTGTGTGTGTGTGTGTGTCAGGTGACCGATTAAAGCCCAGACCGGTGCCAGAGAATCAGGTTGACGTCCTGTACTTAGCAAAAATATTTACGCATCAACTCTGATAACAGTAGGGGCATGCAGCTCTCCTTGGAGTCAAGTGAAAATAAATTAACTTAAACTGCGCTCTGTTTAAACCCCAGCCAACAAGCTCTTCAATGACACTATTAGGATAACACTTTGATTGCAGGCTCCCTGTAGGCTCCATCACCTCCTCTAGCTGCTGCTCAATTATTTTAGCAGATCACTTTGAAACAGCTGGTAATGTAAGGCACATTAACAGGTCTGTATGTCACCTTTGGGAGTTATTAAATATCCAACTGCAAGCTCCCTCCTTCAAAGGCACATAGTGTGTTTTTGTTGTAGAGCTAATCCATCTACAAGGTCTATATATGCAGCCCCCTGGAAAAAAAACCCCCAAAGTAACGATATTGGAGATATACACACTTTTTATTGCTTTTTTCTTATTGTTCCTCTAATTATCCAGACAAAAGACACCAGTTTCATTACATTAGACAAAGGAATGAATCTATTTACAGTGGTCTTCTTTCAAACACTGACAAACTTAATTCACTCTCAACGTTTTTTATGTCTTTCGAGGGACATGGTCAATCAACCAATCCACTTGCATTAAATAAACAAACAGTTATTTATTTATGTAGACGATGGCTTCTGTTTAGAGTGTTGAACTTGTGTTAGTGTCATCTAATTTTAGGAGCCGGCCTTGGTGGTGGGTAGCGCTGATTGGGTCCGATGTATTTCAGTGGAGTGTACTTTGGCTTCTCAATCACTTCCAGACTCAAGTAAGGCTGCAGGGCTCGGGGAACACGTATTGTTCCCTCCTGGTGAGAGAACGTAAGGAAGTATAGTCTTAGTTTCAAAACTTCTTGAAAACATATGAGAAAAAAAGCTAGACTTTATCAATTCCTGTGAAAAACTAAATACACCCTCACTACTTCTATAAGAATTAACAGCCAGTTGGTGTTATTCAAATGCACTTAATTAATTGATTATCATTGAGTGCGAGTACCTTTACAAAAAGCAGAACTTTGGGACTTTGCTGGTCTGGAGCATTCAGGTGTGTGTTAACACGTGCTACAACCTTCCTAAGAGTGGACATCCCTGCAAATTTACCTCAAAGGTTGGCTGTGCAATGCTCCGAGAAGTTTAATGGTTAAAGTTCATGATGGCACAATTATACAAGTACGGATTGTTTGGAAGTGTTGAAAGGAGAAAGCCTCTGATGTAGAAACAGAGCATGGCAGCATGAGTTAGGTTTGAAAAGCTTCAAGATTTCAAGAACAAGTGCTCTGTGAAAACGTAAAACCACGCACAGCCTATCAGCACCAACACAACGATCCAAACACAGCAGCAAATCAAAAGAACGGCTGAAAACGAAAAAAGAAAAAAAAATCAACCTGCTACAACGGCGAAAATGTTTAGCTCAGGTATATGCGATGTCAAGGTATCCATCCTTTACTACAGTCTAGATCAGTGGTCTTAAACTTAAAATATCTGTGGGCCACTTCTGTCATCTAGTGTGAGGGACACTTTAGTGTTCAAGTAGTACAAAAAAAAAAAAACAATCACAAAAACACCCACAAATATTTCCAAAAATGTCGTGTTTTGTTTGTTTTTTTGAAATTTCACATTTTGTATAACAAGACAAAACTGCTAAAGTGAGCACAATTATTGTTCTCACTCTTAACTAACTGAAGCCTTTCACTGAACTACCAAATGAACAAACTGGCCAGACACGTGCCAGCACTTCTGCTATAATTTTGTTTGTATTTACCGAAATAAAAATGCAGACCTAAGTGTACACATTCGTTTTGGACTACGAGTGAAAATTGTTTTCTTTACAAATAACTCTCTCACTGAACTAACACACCCAATCCCTCATCACGTTTGTACTCTCTGCTCATATTGCCTTCATATTAAGTCATTTTTTCCTTTTTAAAGAACTTATTGTAGCATTGCACTCAACAACAAACAAATCCTCCCTAACAAAAAAGTAACTTCACGTCAATTTAAAGTAGGGGTGATGTGGGCCGCTAGTTTGAGACCCCTGGTATAGAGCCTGAACGTGACAGCTCAGTGGGTTTTAGAAAAAATTTAAAGATCCTTGATCTTGAAGTTCACCTGTACCATTCAACCTCAACCTGACTCGGTTGCCGTTTCCACTGCTGCAGTGAGACTTGCCTTTTACAACTTCTAACCCTTCTGTGGCTCTGTGTGCTGATTCAGAATTACAAAACAAATTATTCTTTGCAAACACAAACTGTCTTGTGGCACATAGAGTCACCAGCTTTCTTTACACTCAGTAAAGAAGTTGTCTCTCTCCCAGCAGCCTCAACTTTCCTTTGTTGTTCCACTGTGGCGTGTGCACGGGGCGCATTACTGCAGACAGCTGCTGTAACTAGGTCGAGTAAAATTTATTTAGAACCTCACGTGTATGTGCAAAGTCCCAGAAAAAAATGTTTGGAAGGCTAGGATGTGAGTTTGACAGAAGTGATTTAGAGAAACATGAATCACAACAGTCACAACACCACAAATATTACACATTATACACTGTGTTAGGTAGATGAGCTGACGTTTTATTATGAGAAACATGAGGGGAATATACTACAGAACTGTCTTTCATAATAATGTGGGGGGAAAACTAATGTGGGGGGGAAAAAAATGCTGCTGGTGTCTTACTTTGGTTTGGTGAGTCTCTAGGATGGCGATTACTGTTCGGGGGATTGCACACGCTGTGGCGTTCACCTAGGATGAGGAAGAAAACATAGATTACGGAGGTGGTATATCTAACCAGCAGCAATATACAGCAGTGCAGCATCATCTGCAGTCTTACTGTGTGGGCGTACTGCAGACTGCCGTCCTCTCTCTCATAGAGGATGTTGAGGCGTCTACTCTGGTAGTCTGTGCAGTTGGACGCACTGGAAACCTGAGATACAGAGGATATAAAATGAGCAACAATTATAAAAACCAGTCCGTAAATTTATTCATGCAGGAGTGGTGTGAGTCGCTATTGACTGTACAAACTGAAAGCTTCTTGATTAGAAATAGAAATGAGGTAACTGGAAGTAAGTAGGTAAATGGGTAATATTTATATAACAGGGCTGACCTCTCCATAGCTGTTTCTCCCAGGCATCCAGGCTTCAATGTCATACTTTCTGTGTGCCGGAGGGCCAAGTTCCTCTGTCGGCATGTCTAGCACTCTGAAGAAGAAAATAGTCACAGGTAAGGGTCAGATCTCAACATGTGAGGGATGTGTAAAGTGAAAGTAGTGCTGCATTTTCTGTAGACATTGGGTGACTTGAGCTTTAAATCTACTTTTTTTCTGTTTCACTTCAAATTCAAGACAGAACAGGGTTCAATGAAACTCACTGCTTTATGACTACATGGGATTGTCAGCCTGTCAATGAGCAATTTAGAAGCATTTCTCCCCAGACTCGACCCCTTGGATATAAAAAGTCATCATTCTATCCTTTTAGACACATGTGTACCGTTGAAACTCACCTGTTCATAATTGAATGGCCAAAAATGTGACTGACAAATCCTAATCGGGTCACTTTCCAGTCGAAGTTGAAGGTTTGTTTTGTTTTTTTGCTTTTGTTTTTTTCAGAAGTACTGAAATTATTCCAAGCTTTACCGAGAAGAAGAGGGACGAGGTCATAATGTCACCAGTCACCAACACATGTGACCTGGTTCTAGCCATACATGTCCTTTCCACAACATTACCTCCACCATGTTTTACAGATGATGTGTTATGCTTCTGATCATGAGCCATTTCTCTCCTCCTCCATACTTTTCTTAAACACCATTTTGGTTTCATTTGTCCACTGATTTTTTTTTTTTTTCAGAACTGTTGAGGCTCTTTCAAATGATTTCTGGCAAAGCTGGCCAGTGCAATCCTTCTTTTAAAGGATGTACCAGTTTCTTATATCTGATAGGTTTCTTTTGGCTTTACAGCCTAATGGACTTTTCCACTTTCAATGGAAAAATCTCAATTTCTTTGGACCTCATATTGAGATTTCCAGTGAACTAATGGAATAATAAGGGTGCAAACCTCACCTGGCCAAGAAAACTAAACACTACCACGCTAATAATGACCAGAAAACATTTATGGCCCCAATATGTTCATTGTGTTGCGCACTGAATTTGACATCACATCCTGTCTTGCTTCAGCCAGTCATGCACATCTTGATCTTTGTAACGTAGCCAGCTGTGCCATGGCCACTGCAGCTGAGTTGAAGAGACTAGTGTAGGATCTTGTTAGTCTATACTGCCATTTTAATGATATACCAGTACAGAAGCTCAGAGACACACGGATATACAGACGTTGGAACAGAAAGCCTGAGTTTGTAGTGGGAAAAAACAAAAAACACTGGACAAATTGTTGGCTTCTGTTTTTGAGTTCTTCTCCTCCTATATCAGCACTTATGTGGCAATATTGTCTGAGTGGCGACACCTAGTGTTCAGAAAAAACACTGCAGCGTCTTAATGTTGGATATAAATACAAGTGACTGTGAGATGATGTTGTGGAACAAAGCGACCATTGTAGTGGGTATACAGAGCCACAGAAACACAGAAAACAGTGTTTACACATCAACACTAAAAATACCTTTACACTTAATATTTTATATCTTTGGTCTTTTGTTATTATGCTCAGCTTTCCATCTTTCCTCACTACACAAAACTATTTCTTACAACCAGTGCAAGCATTCTCTGAGAGAAAACGGGGAGGAACATCGGCATTTTGCATTTCAGAATATTTCCACAATATCATTTTGTCCGAGCTGAGGACACAGCTGAGGAGACAGTAAGACTGTGTGTGTGTGTATGTGTATGTGCGTGTGTGCGTGTGTGTTGACCTGTAGTGCAGTTCTAGCGCAGAAAACATCTCTTTTTGCAGACTGACAAACTCCTGCAGCAGCTGCGAGCTTTCTTCTCCTGTCTCGTCTGCCGTCACTCCAAACATCTCCACCTGCACAGACGCACATAGAAGCAAGCAGCCGCACAAGCAAATAACCACTTACATTATCATTGGTTTGTCCATGTACAGCAAATGTACACATTAAACTTCTGTGTGGCTTCTGACCTTATTGAAATGATGAACTCTGTAGAGCCCCCATGTCTCTCTGCCTGTGTCGGTCTCCGCTCTGTAGCACGTGCTGCTGCACACCGTCCTGCACACAGACACGACAGCATCGCATTACGTGTAATTATTCCATATATCTCAAAGTAAGAGGTGGGGTGTACCTCACCTGACAGGAAGGTCCTTCCAGTTCACTGCATGATCCATGAAATAGCCTGAGGGAAGAGATACAAATGGATGCATCCAGTTTACACATTACCACCCCTCTCCAGATTAAAGAAACGCAACTAAACGTACAGAGATCCACGAGAGCTTTTCTTTACTGAAACCTGACTACTGATAAGTTGATGGACAGCAAGACACACGACATCTCAATTCAGCAATCGATCGAATGCAGGATTGCTGTTGGGACTAAGCAAACTTCTCTCAGTTACTACACTCGATAGCTGTAGGCTTACTAAACAATACAACACACTGTTGCTGTATTGATACACAACCAGCTGGTTATTTGAAACTGTGAGGAAATGGAAAAAGAAGCTTTACCTGCCACCCCAACCTCTCCAGTTCCAGCCAGGTTGAGGTCTGGGAAACGTGCAGGGTCCAGTGAGTAGACTTGTGAGCTGTGGGCTTTGGGCTGCATCCCACAACCCTCCTGGAGGTGGGTCAAATCAGAGAGCAGAGTGAGATTATCTGTGGTTGTGCCCAGTTACTTCAATGAAAATTTATATATAACTGCAAAACAATTCATTTAGAATAATTTAAATTAAAATTGTTTGAAAAATGAGCTGAAAAATGAGATTAATGCAGATGAGTCAATCCCCAAAGACTCCCATGTTAAAATGCTCAACTTTGCTACAGATATGAATATGTTTATGGCCTGGTTTTGAAAAATGGTTTTCATCTCTATGGCTAATTACAAAGGTTATGACAAGGTAGCCATGTGAATGTATCTGACTCAGTCATTTTCATTTTATTAAGGCTTTAAGTTGGGGGCATAGCCACTTTGAGTGACAGGTGAGCGCCTACTCAGCAGCAAAACTGAGCTCCTAAACTGTGCTTATATCTGGCAAACAATAAACTCAAATTAAAGCCTTAAAATGAGGCTGAAAGACAAGACTACACAGAATAGTGAGTGTCTTGATGGATGAGGCCATCCTTTATGTATAGTGTATGACAAAAGTATTTTATTGTGACTTTAGAAACCTGAGCTTTGGTACTCACAAACACTGCACCCTTCAGCATATCAGGCACAACCATGGGAATGAAGCCCTGTAGGAGTCAAAGGAGGAATCCATGTTTGGCATGTCTAGATATTATATATATAGATATAATAATACACACTACTAACATTAATTATCCGGGGATCACATCAAATGACCAAACACACATACCCGTCGCTGTAGCGTGTCAAGGGCAAAGTTCTGGAGTGCAGCTTGAAGTCTGGCCCCGGCTCCTCGAAGATAGTAGGACCTGTGGCCTGAGACATGAGCTAGATGCCTGCAGCAGTGGACAGAGGAAATGTGAATAGCGCAGTTTATTTAAATTAAAGTAGCTTGTACTGTATATTAGACAGTGTTATAGTGGACATACAGTACAGTGAAGGACTGTAAACAACAACCAGAGTCATCTTCACCTCTGCCTGATGAGTCCTAACTCTTCCCCCAGCTCTGCATGTCCTTTGGGCTTAAAGTCAAACTCTGTACCAGAAACACACACAAACGTTTGTGTCAGCATTCATTAAAAAAGATATTAGGTAATCAATTTAAAGTTTAGAAATCTGCACTTCTCATCTCATTAGTCACCTGGTTTCTGTCCCACGAGCTCCACCACCCTCGCCTGGTTCTCATCTCCTATTGGCTGGAAAGAGCAAGAGAAACTTATGCTTAGTGACTTGAGCTTCACAGTAAATCTCTCCCAAGCAGCTCAGGACAAAGTAGTGTGTGCATAGTGTATCCTGACCACATCAGGGTGTGTAGTGTTGGGCAGCCTGAGTGCTCGGCCATAGTGTTCCTCATTCAGCTCGGTCTCTTTGTGGTACAGATGATTGAGTCTATTGCGGATCTCTCTGCCCTTCTGAAGAGCTTGGTTGTACTCTGGAAGCTAAAGAATAGAAAAGAGCAAAGACTCAGAAGTGGACACATGAGCTTTATTATAGGTCAAAAACACAGGGGAGTAGGAAGGTTAACTGACTCAGTAACAAAAGAGACAAGGTTCTGAAGTGAAACTTACATTGGCGAGGGCTTTCTTGTCCTTCTTTGTCTGTGAGGAAAAGATCAGTTAGGTCACAGAAATCTACTCTCTGACAACAACAAAAAACCTCAAAGCAGAGTAAATGATGACGCAAACCTCGATAGAAACTGAAGTTCATTCTGGTTATAATGTTTAGAGCTGTAATAACTATTTCTCACCACTAGTGCTCTGACTATATCACTGATGCGCCGCTTCTCTTCCTCCAGCTCAGAGATTTCTGTCTTTACTGCCTGGAGCTCCTGCCACACACACACCTAAAAGGTAGACAATCAGGATGATCGAGTCAAAAGCAAGCACATTAGACAGCAGTGATATTAAGCAGGTGTACATATGTAAAAACACTGAGAACCGATCAGTCAAATTTAACACAGTCGATCTCATTTTAAACAACTGCTTTGTTTTTTGTTTCCCAGATGATTTCATGGTAGGATATCTTACTTACAGTCACAAGTATTCAGACCAAAGACGTCACTTTTTATTATGGTAAGTAGTGTAGTTTTAAGGTCAGTCAGCATGACTAGACATTTTTGTCAATTTTTAGATCCAGGCAAGATTTGCAGTGCCGTCCATAATGTTAGGGGAAAAGACTGTTTTTTTTCTGCCTCTGTACACCACCACCACAGTGGATTGCAAATCAGGGAATCAAGATGCAATTTAAGTGCAGACTTTCAGCTTTAATTCTCAGGGTTATAAAAGATTTTGTATGAAATCTTTACACATCCATGTATCAGTGGGAGTTTGTGGCATCACGCGTTTGGAGCGAATCATGTCCCAGTTACATTTTAAGCAAATGGATGTGGAGGCTTATTGTAAAAACTGATTTTTCAGTGAAGCGATAACACCCAGAAAAACTTTAGAAAATAGTGACATAAGATAAAATTATGATGTTTTAATGCCACAAACAGTACTTAATTAGTAACTAAAACCGCTTACAATTTTCCTCACATCGTCCCCTCGCAGGTCCCCTTTCCTGCTCTCTACATTCGCTATGACTTTGTCAGTCTCCTCACACACAGCTCTCATGTCCAGCTCAGGCTTGTCACTGTAGCCTTCACGGACATGCTCGTACAAACGACTCCGGACTCCATGCGACAAGCGATGCGGGACAAATACATTTACGCTATGCGCTGGACACTGTCTGGCTACCGGCTTTAGCACAGCAGCTACAAAAACCCCAACTTTAGCGACCATGCCGATGCAGGTCGCCATGTTTGTCTCTGTAGCTGAGGATGCGTTCATGGAGGTATAGGAACAATCAACGCCGTATTCTGTTTAGGCTCTTGCTCAACTGAAGTTTCTCGTGGGTATCAATGTGTCCCGAACATTTGAGGCAATGTTTGTGTATTTCATTATTATTTTCATTGTTATTATTATTACTATTTTTGATTTATGATAAATTTATATTTTTAGGTGTCAGTTTAACTAGGTAGCGCTATTTCTGGCTGTTAAAATGTCCGTATCCTCCATGAATGCAGCATGAATACGGAAACCAGTGTTACCGCAGCTAGAAACCAAATAAAATTTTGTAAACGATTAAATTTGGAAGAGAGAGAGAAACACGTAGTTATTTAACGCAACTTTTGTCACAGAGGAGGAGCAGGATTTATTTTTTTTAAATCCAGTAACAGGAAACGGCTCATCCTCCCCAAACAATCGTCACGGGGCAAAGGTCAGCCAATCAGATGAACGGAAGTTTACCGTTGCGGTAATCCGGTTCAGAGACGACAAGTGCGGCCGACAGAAGCTGAACTCAGTCACAATTTTCAGCTCCGTGAGCCCTAAAAGCTGCAGTCTTTACCGGCTAACCACCGAGCTGAGCGTCTGTGTACACTGCCATGGTGGACTGATGTGTGTAACGACGAGACGCGTTTGCACAGGAGGAGATTTTTTTTCTTTTTTTAAGCTAGTTTGTACCTCCAGTTGGTGATGGTGTACACAGGGCTGGATGAGTAGCCTGACGAGCAGCGAGTAGCCTGACGCCTCTTCACCGCAGGCCGGGACAAGCGTTTCAGCTGAGTCCGGAGGACCAAGACAACCAAATGCTTCCAAGTTTTTGACAATAAACGAGGTACTTGGATACAGTCGGTCTGCTCCAAACTGCCTCACCAGTTCCTGCTGAAAGTGAGACCCAACCAGCTTTCACGGTGGAAACGAGAAGAAGAGCAAAGGTAAATGAAAGCTTAAAAAAAAAAATCCCCCATCACAGCCTCTATGAGCAGTGTGCTTTGGAATTTTTAAAACTCCACCTTTTATGGCAAGTATCATACATGTGATATTAAAATCAACGAGTTTTTTAACATGCACTGTATTGCAATGCTCTCATAATGTGTGGCTAGGAAAGCATACCTTTTTCTGCCAGTGATTTAGAGGTAGGTGCTATCTGGGCCATGTGTCCACAGTCTCTGGGTATAATGATAGTCCTTGGATGCATAAAGATCAGCCTGTTCTGTGTTTGCTGATGTTAAATGCATAATGCATGTGTATAATTCTCTGCTTGTGTCCACACCTTCAGATGAATGCTGTGCGGGGGGGCACAGTCACCTGGCGTCCCCAGCCGTGGCAGGACGGAGACGGGGGTGGAGGGGAGCCTCTGTCAGACAGCGACTCAGAGGAGGAGGACTTCCCCGATGACAGCACCACCCCGCTGGGGGACTACATAACTCATGGTGGGACATTAGAAAATGACAAGGCTGGGGTTTCTCTATTCCTGCACTACATTGGGCTGATCTTACCTTCTGTTGCCACTCTCTCATTCCTCCCACCTCTTTCTTCTCTGTCTTTCAGGACTGAAGCAACTCCTGGATGCTCAGCAGCTGTGTGATGTTACCCTCCTTGTTGAAGGAAAGAAGTTCATGTGTCACAGGTATGATTGCCATATGTTACAGGGTATGGAGATGCAAGGGTCTAATTCCCTGACAATAAGTAATTATTGACAATATTGGGAATAAATAAGCATGTTGATGCATGTTTTCCTGTGTTGGATCCCTGACTTTGGTGAACAGGACCCTATCTCAGATGATAAAACCTATATAATATCCTTCATATCTTAAGTCTGAAGTACAGTTTGCCTCCACAACATGACTTCTCTTCTCCACCTTTGACGTACTGAGTGTGTGGGCTCATTCATAAAACAGTAGAACAGCAATGTGCATCTCGGCCACTGTATTCAAGGTGATGATGCAACATGGTGGTTTCCACAAACCAGTGCCTGCCCCTGTGCATTTACAGTTTTTGTAGTAATTACACACTATCAATATGTAATTATGAGAGCAATATCAGAGGAACGTTGTCTTCACTGTGTAGTGTACCACTGCACATGGTTGAAATGACAATAAAGCCACTCGACTATTCCTTTTTCCCTTTTTTTTTCTTTAGTAAACTCAAAAACATGACTTGAAGAGCTTTGAACACTGAAAGACTGCAAAATTGATTTTCTAGCACTGACAAATAAATGTCCCTTTTATTTATACGCTCTGGTCCTTAGGTTTTTAGACAGTGTTATAGTTTTTGTCATTTTACCTCTGTATGCCACCACAGTGGATTTTAAATCAAACCATCAGTAAATAATTTACTTGGAGTGCAGACATTTAGCTTTAGTTGGAAAATTAAGGAGCAGTACAAGGTGAGACCTGTTCTGTCATTTTGTAACAATTTTCAGTAGTTTTCAGAGGTTCAGAGGAATTGAGATGAGATGAGATGCCTGACATTTAGAATCCATGGATGTCACCAAATGTTGTGTTTCCTCCAGTGAGGTGTTTGTTTTTGGGTCTCTCTGCATTCAGTTTTGTATTTAGTAACTAAATAGCTGCTCTGTTGAGTTAGGATCAAGTGACTGACTTGGACATTGAACAATTTCACATTTTTCTTGCCTTAAGAAACTCTTGGGTTGTCTTTTTGCTTTGGGTCATTATCTATTTGTAGTTCGAAGCTTTGTCCATTCATGCTTGCAGAATTTGTCTGAATCTGAGAAGGGAGTGTAGCTCTGTGCTCATCGTGATAGCTTTCTTGATTTGGATTGACACAGCTTTGAAACTTTGTATTAAAGTGAACAGCTACAGCTCTTTTATCGCCTTAATTTGCTGTGGAATAGCAAGAGAACCAGCCTCTGAAAAAGAGAGCTATGAGCAGGTCTAGATTATTGTGATTTTATATAATGATGCAAGTGACTTTGAAAGAGTGTGCATTGGTGCTCATCTACTGATGAGCTGAGAAGAGCCTTTTACTAAGGCAGCTGTTGAAAGAGTTTATTATGTTTATGTATAGAAGTACATTTCATTTGAGGTTCTCTAGATGTGTTTGCTCTTTTTACTAGAGAAGTTACACTGTGCAAAGCTCAGCATAAAGTCTCTACTGTTGTATGTTATCTTTTCCACTCATGTATCTGTGATGAAGTCTCTACCTTCGTATGTTATCTCTTCCTGCATGTGATGAAGTCTCTACCTTTGTATGTTATCTCTTCCTGCATGTGATGAAGTCTCTACCTTTGTATGTTATCTCTTCCACTCATGTGTCTGTGACGCAAACATGCTTGAGTATAAATAAAGGGTGGCAACTGCTGCGGAGTGTGAGTCTCCGTTTGAGCTCTCACCCGTGTGCACGTTAAACCTGCAAACCTGTCTGAGTGTCATTTATTCTGACCTGAGTTGCATTACAGGAAAACTCCTGACAGCAGCTCATCTGGCACTCTAGAAAAAGAGACAAAAGTCACATCTGCATTATGTTTGAAATTCCAGTGTGATTCACAGCAGTGTCATTTCCCAATGTTTTTGTGCTTTCCAAAGCTATCACAACCACCATTGCCTCAAGGGCAGAAGAAGATAAAAAGCCACATGTTATAATGTGTAGTTCTGCATGAAAATTTCCCATCAGTCAACTGCATGCATTTGTTAGCACTGATACCCGTGGTTTAGAGTGATATGTAAGAGAAGACAGGGCAGCTTGTCCTTCGGGAAAATGGTCTGCTTGGAAGAATAGTTATTGCAGTAGGGTTGAAGTGCAGAAACTCGCCATTAAAAGACGTGCAATGGAAACTTCAGTGTTACAAAAACTATAAAGGCACAGGTTTAGGAGTGGAGTATAGGAACTTACCAGATGAGTGATCCTTTGCTATATTCTGAATAAGAGCACCAGTGTGTGTGATGAAAAGAAAGAAAACAGTTCAAGCCTGAAATTTTTAAAGCTCTGTAATGCTTTTGGGAGGCATTTGTCCTGTTAGATCGGGGATGTCAAACTCATTTTACACCGTGGGCCACATACAACTGACTTTAAGCTTGAGTGGGCTGGACCAGAAACTCCCCTTTCAGTCAGTGGACAGAAGTGTAAATACAGTTTAATCCCTGAGATATCGCAACGTAAAAAAAATAAGAGTAATTTCAAACGTATGTCTCTGTTTTTCTACATGTTTCTATAGGCACTGTGACTGTTTGTGCTAATATAAGATTACATAAAATTACAGACTCTCTTGTAATTATGCAACATGAAAGTTTCAGTTTTGTTAAGGAATTTATTTATTTTTTGTGTGCATCTATGGATCCATTGTAAAAAACCTAAATTTGTACAGTGACAGGAAGTTTTCTTAATTGTTTATTTGTTACATTTTGTTGTGGTTCACTTTAATGTCTCACCCATCTACTTCTTCTTTTCTTTTGACTCTCCCTCGACTTCTCTTTGCCATCAGAGTCCTTTTAGCAGCCGTGAGTCCGTACTTTCGGGCCATGTTCACCAGCCCGCTGGTGGAGTCTCGCCTCACAGAGATCCGGCTTGAGGAAGTGACGCCATCTGTCATGGAAACCATCATCCAGTTTGTGTACACTGGGGAGGCTGGGCTCTCCCTGGATACAGCTGAGGATCTGTTTGTGGCTGCCAACCGGCTTCAGGTCATGCCCCTCCAGGACCTGTGCTCCAGGTAAAGTTAATATCCTCAGTAATTAGATGTTACAGTTCAAGTGGCTACGTTTTTACTTTGACTTTAGATTGTAATTAAAATAAAACCTATTCTGTTTTCTAGATGAAGATGGCAATTAAATCATCTTGTGTCATTCCCTTTTTCTCTTCTTCTGTTTTTCTTTGACATTTTTCTGCTTTTTTTCTCTCACTTTAAATGCTTCAGGTTTCTTTTTGAGCACCTCTCAGTGGACAACTGCCTGGGGATGTACTCTCTGGCTCGCTCTCACCATGACCAGCTCCTGCTGCGTGCCTCCCTGCGACTGGTAGCCCAGCACTTTCCCCGGGTGGCCCGCCAGAAAGACTTCCTCCTGCTCGACCACGGCACCTTAGGCAGTCTTCTGAGCTCCGACCGGCTGGGCGTGGACTCGGAGGCAGAGGTATATGATGCGGCACGCCGCTGGGCAGAGCACCAGCCTTTGGATCGCTACGCTCACATGCCGGCGCTGCTTCACCACCTGCGCCCCGGGCTGTTGTCCCAGGAAGAGAGCCGAAGACTGAGCCAAGAACTGGGGCCAGCAGCAGCAGGAGAAGGCCTCGGCGGGCCTCTCAGACCACGAGAGGGAATGTTTGAGAAAAAGATTGTCTGTGTGGACCTGACGCCTCGGGAAGATGAGTATTTAGCTGCAAGAGACTACACGGTGGACTGCTTTGATCCTCGGACAGGGAAGTGGGAGAAGCTAGCACCACTCGGCTCACTTGTCAGTCCTGGCTGCACAGCTGTGGGCGACAGGCTTTTTGTAGCTGGTGGGATCCTGCGGACCGGCTCTGTGTCTGCAGCCGTGCATGAATACGATGCTGTGTTGGACCGCTGGATAGAGCAGCCTTCGATGGTCCAGCCCCGGGCCATGCTAGGCCTCCTTGGATGTGGAGAGTCACTCTATGCTTTGGGTGGCAGCAACCGCTCAGCTCTCCTGGACTCCAGTGAGACTCTGGACCTGACCACACTTCAGTGGAGTCCTGGGCCTCGGCTACCGCTCCCCCTGCGCGCCTTTGCCTGTGCAGCACTACGTGGAAGACTTTACCTCCTGGGTGGAACCACACTTGAACAGAACCGAGCTGTGGTCCACTCAGGCGTGCTTATTTATCACACCCTGACAGACTGCTGGACACGTGTGGCACTAGATTCAGGTGCCACCTGCCTCGCTGGAGGAGTAGCAGTGCGAGGTGGAGTGTGCGCCATTGGGGGATACATGAGGGATACCACCAAGTTCCTGGATGGTAACTACACCAACCTGGAGACTTTGGACGCTACAGGCCGTGTGCTGTTTTTCAGAGAAGGCAGAGGGTCAGGGGTGGAGAGGGAGGTGACTGGGGGAGGGGTGCTGGTCAGCGCAGAGCAGCGAGGGGGAGCGGGTGGCGGAAGTGACCGAGCTCCAAGCCCCGTCGTTTTTCCGGGGTTGCCTCGGCGGATTGCAGCAGGGGGTGTGGCCAGGTGGAAAAGACGGATTTATGTGTTGGGAGGGGAAAATGGCTCGCGCTTTTACGACAGCGTGTACTGTTGGAAACCCGGCTGGCGCAGCTGGGTTCAGAGACGGGAAAAACTTCCGGGAGATACCGGAGGCGTGAGCCAGTTTGGGTGCACCACTCTAAAATTCCCTAAAAAACACATCCTGTCCAGACTCAGACTAGCCAAAGAAAACTGCAAGAAGCCCTCTGACTAGCTGAGCAGGAAGCAGTGAGACTGAAGTGAGGGTCATAGACACAGATTTACTCCAAGGAGAATCAGCTCCTCCATGGCTTCTTGAAATGTTGAATTTTAAAATGAAGTCACGTGGAAAATAGCATTTTATACTATCTGAGTTCAGCCACCAAGCAGGCCTAGAATAGACCGGATCATCTGAAAGTGTCACAGATACATCAGTAGTCAAACAGGCAGTAGGTAGAGGCAGAAACTGGGGAAAAGTCAGGCAACGTGCACCTGAATGTAACTGAATCCACTGTTTGTCCTCTATAACCCAGAAAAGGGCCTTCACTTGATTGAAGTGTGATGTTATTTTAAGCTTTTTTTTGCTGTTGTAATAACTCTAAATTTGTGGATTTTCTTTGGACGCATTTAGTTTAGACACAAGGATACTGGCACATTCCTGTTCACTTTATTTCCCTAAATCTTTTTTATTGCTCTCCTGATCTCAGCCTGCAAAAGCCCTTTGATACTGCAATTTACAGCACACAAAACCTGACTGGATGGGAAATGTATTGTAGAAAGTTTTAGAATAACTGTATTTATAGAGCATCTTTGAAAAAAAATCAAGAAATAATGGGTGTTGAAAGAGAAGAAATGAGCCCATAAATCATTGAGGTGATTGTAAAATAGATAATGGACTTTCTATAGCCTTTGTAGTGTTGCATTCCTGAAGACAGGAATACAGAAAGTAATGTAATGTAAGAAGAGCATGGATATGAGTTTCTAAGTTTTCTGTGAGTTGAAAGGATTTTTGATGGTGCAAGAAACAAGAGTGAAGAACAGACTGGACCTGGTAAACAATGCTTGATGTCAAAGATGACACGCACACATCTGGGAGTCATTTCAATAAATTGTGTGTGGAGGATTTCAGAGCAGCCATTGTCTCAGCCATGTCTGACACTTTTCTAATTAAGATGCAAAATGAAGGTTTTTGTTGTTTTCACAGATTCATTTTGATCCCAGGTTACAAAACTACATTAAACAGCTTTTCTAATGGCTCCAGCCCCCCCCCCCCCCCCTTTTTTTTTTTAAATCAACAATATCAAGAAATTTGTGGTTGATAAAACTTTGAATAACAAGCTGATATGTTTCTTTTTTCATCTGACATAAATCATTTGGCACTGATATCTGAAAGCCATGGTACTTGCCGAGATGCCAATATTAGTCAACAAGGCCATTACAGCAATGAAAGGCCAATTCACCTTGTTTTTTTATGAGTTCTGATAACTTATTATATGATAACTTATTTACTGTAGATATCTTAATTCTAATCATTTACGGCTATTTAAGTTCATTGTTTTTAATTTATTACATATTCCCTATCGTGGCCCTGCTGTATTATCTTAACAACCTCCACATGTGAGCATGATTGGGATAAATATTCTAGACAAAGAGTGTGTAACCTAACAGAAGTGAATTTCCTGGTAATTCTGACTAATACGTTTTTAAAAAAAAGTTTTATATTTGTCTGAAACCCCAATGTTATCCTTTACACTAAGCTTTGAGCAACCCTTCAAGTCACTCCCTGTATGAACCTAGACTCTTTTAGCTCCGCCCACTTTATGCCAGCTTTCTTCTCACTGGCTGCCCAGAATAGGAATAGGAAAACAAAAACAAGACGTGATAGCTATGGCAGCAAGTCCCGGATGAGCTTCGGGGAACCGAACGATCCAAGATCACGCGAAATCGTCAACAATCAAATCCAGCTAACTTACTTAGCGAGGTACGAAGAACGGGCCCCAGGTCACATTGTAACCAGTACATGTATTCCAGAAAGTAATGAAGAGAACAATATGTCCCCTTTAAAAGTGTTTTGGTTAGAAAACACTCGAGTGGGAGAAACGGAAAAAATGAAAGACTGTATTAACACATTCAGTGAGTTCTTTTAATCAGCTGAAGGAAACTAACTTTGTAGTTAATGTGATATCTAAACCCCTCTTAGAATTTGACCTTCAGTATCCTTGTGTCTAGACTCTGTTACATATCTTCCCTCCATCTTGAAGCCAGTTCAGTCTCTGCTTGATTCAGCAGACACGTGAAGCTTCAGCCGTAGGACTTTGAATGTACTTGGCATGGAGGTTATGGACTATCTAAACACACATTGAGTAGCATTGCACCTTATTTATTTATTTTTTTTAAGTATTTTAAGTCTTTTGTTGTTTCTAAACATTTGTGTTGAGACTGCACTTCCTGGATGTCCTGTAGGTCTGCTCAGAAATGATCTGCTGTGACTCTAAAACGCACTAATAATTATTCAGATGCCACAGAGATTAGGTCACGGTCAGGTTTTGTTTTGTTTCATTCTAAATCCACTTTTCTCCACTTTCCACTGATAAATAATTTCAGAATCCAAAGTCAAACCGTCCTCTTATCGTTCCAGTTGAAAATGTTGCGCTAATAGTTTCTCCTTCAAGGTTGGAAAAGTGGAATTTCTCCAATTTTCCCAGCTCGCTTCACAGGCAGCAAGTTATTTCTAGTGGCCATAGTGACTTCCTAGGCTGTGCATCCCCATTAAATACTGTGGTCTTTATTTTATGTAGTGCATACTAAATGATACTTTGCTTACTCTAATTTATTCTTGCTTTATATTTGTTAAATACATGGACGTGAGCTGAGTTTCAGGATTCCCTTTTCCTCTTCACTGCTGATAATCAGTCCAGTTTGGATAAGAATTATTCCAAGTGCTTTGTTGGTACAGGGGATTCCATATGTTTTTGGGAAATGGCAAAATTTTAATATATTTGCCGTAAGTTTGTACAACACCACAGTGGATCATTTTCTGTCACTTATCAAATTCAGGGTTGCGGTTGGGCTGGAGCCAATCCTAGCTGTCATAGGTGAAGAGGTGCAGTACACCCTGGATGCAAATTCAGTCTATTGCAGGGCTGACACATAGACAGACAACCTTTCACATCTACAGGCTATTAAAAAAAAAAAAAAAGACACCAGTTAACCTTTGAACTGTGGGAGGAAGACAGAGTATCCGGAGGGAACCCACACAGATACTGGAAGAACATGCACACACAGAAAGGCCACAGATTGGATTTGAACCCAGGACCTTTTTGCCGTGAGGCTAATCACTGCACCACTTACCACTCTTGAAGTGCAGACTTTCAGCTTTAATTCAAGGTGTATATTGTGTCTGAGTGTAATGATAGTTTTTTTTTTTTTAATACTTGGATAAAATCCTTTGCAGTCAATGACTTCTTAAAGTCTAGAACTCATGGAGAACCAATGCTGTATTTCCTCCTTTGAGATGCTCTGCCTTTCAAGAACATCCCATTTCTTTGCCTTTAGGATGTCTTGAGTTGCCTTTGCAGTTTGCTTTGGCTCATTATCCGTTTGCACGGTCCCATCAGTTCTTCTGTATTTGTCTGGGCAGAGAGTACAGCTCTATACACGTCATAGGTCATCCTGCTGCTTCTGTTAGCAGTCACGTGAGCTATAATGATGAGTCGCCCAGTTTCACTGCCAAGCCATACATGCCAATACCATAACGCTGCCTCCATGTTTTTCATATAATGTGGTGAGCTGTTAATCTCGGAAGTTCATCCTGGTTAACCAGGCTCTTTTAGATGATGTCCAGTCTGACTTTGTAGTTGTTGAGCATAACCAGTGGTTCACAACTTGTTGAAAACCTTCTGTATTTCCATTCATGGAGAGGTCTCTTCATACACAAAACTCCTCATGAGTGGCCTTGAATTGATTAGATGTTGTGAAGTTGTTTTGCTTAATCATGGAAATAATTCAACATGAACTTAAGTTGTCTTCTGGGTTCTTTCAGGCCTTTTGGTGTTGCTGGTTCAGATTGTTGAATTTGTTCACTCCTAACTTTTTTTTTTCCTTTTAATTAGTCATGGAACCACATCAACTGCCATAACCCTGCTTTTTAAGTCAGTTGTCCAGTTACTTTTGAGCCTCTGGAAATGGGGAACTGCGTATAAAAGCAGCTGTAATTCCTAAACATTTAATGCAATACTTTTATTAAACCCCTTGAGTTGTAGCTGGAAATCTGCACTTTAATCACGTTGATGGTTTAAAATCCACTCTAGTACTGTGCTGAAGCAAAACTACAAAAAAAAATGCCATTCCACAAAAACTTATGCACCCGATGTTTCACTTTTGCTTCTTCCTGCCTTTCACTGAGCCACTGCCATTAGCTGAAATATGACCGCCAGTAGATTGGCAGCTTTCTCTTCTCCCTCAGGTGAGGTCAGTCCAACCTGGTGTTGAAGTTTCACGGAAGAGCTGGTAATGCGAGTCTCTCATGATGAGACCATAATGGTCTCTGCTCATGGTTTGCCATTTTAGACATTTGATATGGAAGAATTCATACCAGTGTGTGTGTGTGTGTGTGTCTGACCAGTGAGGGTTTCTTTGTTTGTTTTGTGTTTCCAGAAAACTCCACACTACACTGCCTGTTAATTATTTCCCCTGACTTGCTCTGAGCTGTCACCCCGGAAATGTCAGACGAACTGATTTCCTCTCCCTCGGTGTGCTTACAGCTTGTGTGACATGTGAAAAGTGACTGTACGCATGCATGTTTTCTATGCTGAGGCGTAAATGTGTTCTACACAAGCTTTTCGCACACATCCAGGGCTCACATGCCGTGCGCCCATTGAAAGAAGCTGCCCTAATTTGTATTACTTAATGACATTTGTGAACTGGAAGGCAAATGGATGCTTCAATGGAAGCAGTGCTATCAAATGAATAAAGGACTTTTTTGCTTTTGTGTTTTGTGACTGTGACTTTTTTGACATGCCAGAACCTTTTATGTTGACTTGGTCACAATGATTTACAATAATCATATTTTTATCATTGTTTAGTGAACCATTGACCAAAATAAGGAAAAGTACCCATCTTTACTGGTAACATTACGGGTTGTTGTGGGAATAAAAGATGCAGGACATGCATAAAGTGGGTAATTGTGCATGTAAAATATTAATTCAATCCAGTGGAGCTACTAACTCAAGGCATGTTTTTTATGGTTTAGTGTTAATAATTACTCTAATAAATAAACTGCTGAATCTGCCCATTGTCAAAAGTGACCAGAGCTCTCACTTAGACCAGTCGCCCCAACTTTGCTGCCTAACTGCTGCTCATCTTTGTAGTCAAGTTGATGCAGAAATGTAGGTGTATTTTGTTTTTTGTAGATAACAAGACTTTAAAAAAAGCTTTACTTGAAGAAAAGTTGCAGGTAAACCCAAAACAGGTTTCCTCTAAGCAATCATATCAAGTCAAGTTTTAGAGTGTTTTTAGGTACAAGTGGAGCAATGGCAGACAAGGTGACCATCAGCAATCCAGCAGACATCTCCATCATTGTTGGATATTTCATTGTGGTGATAAGTGTTGGCGTCTGGGTAAGTGTGCCTTAGAGAATTCCTGATTATTCTGATCATCTTTGATGTTTACACACTTTTCCATGTTCCAGTCCATGTTTCGGACCAATCGTGGGACAGTTGGGGGATATTTCTTGGCCGGTCGTACCATGACCTGGTGGCCGGTGAGTTCAGTAGATACACAATAAATGTACACTTTAAACTGTTATTGGCTTAATATCTTCACTGTATTCATCAGCCAGTAATAGGCGCTGCACAGAAATACCAAAGTTTGAAGTAATTTTAAAACAATTGTGCTATACTTTGCGGTTTATCCAAAGGCGGTGTATAAATAGCCAATACATAAAAACGATACTATCGTTATTGGATTTTTAAATATTGAATCTGCATAGAATCTTTTTGCAGTATCTTAAAACATGATCAGTATATCAAATAATAATCCCCCATAAATGTGAGTGATTGTGAATGAGCACACACTCCTGCATTGAAAAATGCTAAATTTCTGAATATGAGGCTTCAACCGAACATCATCAGTTCTGAAATTGAAAATGCGCCACAAACTATTTGCATTTTGACCTGAAAACATTTGCATGTCTGAATGTGTCCATTTTTCTTTTCCTGTTGCATTCTCTCTCATTCAGTTGTATTTTTTGGCCTGAAGGTTGTGCAAAAAGGTGAGATTAATGAAGTGGCTCTCTTTCTCTGGCTAGAGCACCATGGAAACTTCTGCTCATCACAAACTGATCTGGAGCAGGTTATGTTCTGAGTTTCTAAGCTCCATGTTTTCACTGATTATTTTATTCAAAGTAAGCTCTAAGTGTTATACAGATACTCTGTTGAAGGAATAGGTTTTATACAGAACTGTGCAAAAGTCTTGAGCCACATTTCTGGATATTTTTCCTCCAAGTCACCAGTTTTTAACATTACCTTAAGAAATAGTTTTTCAAGTTTTCTGAAGGTCTTTAAAAGTTTTTTTAATATACTGGCTGTCCCCCCCCCCCGTTCATTTTCAGTACAGTCCTTCTACTAAAATATGAATCTATGAAGCATAAAAAAGACGCTTTACTCAAGAGAGGAACCACTTTTGTATATTTAGGCATTTTGTTACTAGCAGCCTGTCATAAAGCACACCGTTTGTTTGCATTTCTTTAACCTTCTTTGTATTTTGCACAACTCTGTTGCTTGTGAAGCTCGCACACAAGGGGGCATTTCACTCACATGTGCTGTACCAACGTATCTGCACATGTGATGTGACAATGAAAGTGATTTGATTTGATTTGATTTGACCTATCAGAGACGTACAGTATCTCTCTGAACAGTGAGTGTCTACACTCATCTGCAAGGCATGATGGAGGCACTGTCGTGGTTTGGAGCTGGCTTTCTGTGAGTGGTTTTAGGGAATTATTAACACGAATAATATCGTCAGAGTTTGAACCAACATCCAAAACCATTTGGAAAATAACTGATTGACAACAGCTTTGTTTTTCAGAATGACAATGATCACAAACACACTGCCAGTATAGTAAAAGCATACCTGGATAGAAACTCTGCTTTTGCCTTATATATTGTTTCTATGTTTGCATGTTTTCCCATTTTCTTAGCAAATATATAAAGAAATAAAGGGTATCTCAAAACTTTAGCACAGTACTGTATATATAACTGCTGAGTCACATCCTAGTAACAACACCAAATGAAGCACAGTTATTACGTTACAGTACTGAGGAACCTGTAATGTTTAAACATATGAAGTTTAAAGTTTAACACCTCTAATGATCTCATAGAAATAAACAGCAGTGAAGAGAATATTTATTGGTTTTGCTGTTTCACTTGTAACAATCACAAATTCACATTGAAATAGTTTCTCTTGTCTTACTTGCAGTGTCAGTGTTGCGTTTTACTGTTACGTTTTCTGCGTGCTTCATAGATCTCTTTCGCCTTTTCCTGTGATAGTGCCTCTGACTGGAGTAACCAGTCCATTTTGTGCGGAGGAAGAGTCGAGTAATGCATCAAGTGTATGTACAGATCCCGAAGCAGAAGTCCCGGGCATCAAAATTCATTTGATTGCATTAATTAGTTTTTGTTTTTTATGTAGTGCCAGATCTCAAATTCTCTCTCTCTCCCTCTCAACACCTTCGTGGCAAAAATGACCAAATATTCAATAATTTTCGTGATTTTAAGCCTTTGAAATGCCAGTTTAATTAATTTAATGATCAGTTATTTATTAAAAGCTCCTGTAATTTTGCTGGATCGGCATCTCGTGTGGTTTTTGCAGGTTGGTGCGTCTCTGTTTGCCAGCAACATCGGCAGTGGTCACTTTGTTGGTTTGGCAGGCACCGGGGCGGCTGGCGGCATCGCCGTTGGAGGGTTTGAGTGGAGTGTAACAGTCACCTTATTTGCCTACATTAGACACACTGTAAATGACAACAAGTGACTGGAAGAAGGTCTAAATATGTCGCGTGTTTTTGTGTGTTGTTCGTTTTTATGTGCCAGGCTCTGTTTATCGTGCTGCTGCTCGGCTGGCTGTTTGTACCTGTCTACCTCACAGCCGGGGTAAGAAGTTCAGCCTGTGCTGTATTTCAGGCATCATAAAGTGTAGCCATTCACTGGTGTGATGAGATGTTGTGCTGTGGCAGGTGATCACGATGCCTCAGTACCTGAAGAAGAGGTTTGGTGGGACCAGAATCAGCCTCTACCTGTCAGTTATCTCACTGTTACTGTACATTTTGACTAAGATCTCAGTAAGTGATCCCATTAGTGCACACGTGTTTTAAAAAACTGTCCCTATTGTGTGTATTTCTCTCTTCATTCAATCTCTGTCTCTCTCCAGGTGGATATGTTTTCAGGAGCAGTGTTTATCCAGCAGGCGTTAGGATGGAATATCTACGTGGCTGTAATCGCCCTTCTGTTAATAACAGCTTTGTACACTGTTACAGGTATGGTAGGATCTATACCAGGGGTGGGGGAACTCCAGGCCTCAAGGGCCGCTGTCCTGCAGGTTTTAGATGCGTCCTTGATCCAACACAGCTGATTTAAATGGCTAAATTACCTCCTCAACAAGTCTTGAAGTTCTCCAGAGGCCTGGTAATGAACTAATCATTTGATTCAGGTGTGTTGACCCAGGGTGAGATCCAAAAAGTGCAGGACACCTGCCTTGAGGCCTGGAGTTCCCCACCCCTGATCTATACAGTACATGAAATAAGTATTTGATCCCCTACAACCCAGCCAGAATTATGGCTTCTAGAGATTTGGCTGTCCATCACCATATGGACAGCCTAGACCAAAGACAGACAAGACCAAAGAGCTGTAAAAGGATGTCAGGGATAGATCACGAGAAAGGAGGTGGATCAACACTGTAACGGGGAAAATTCTAATTTTTTCTTACATTTAGATTTAGGTGCTTAGGATTTCACTGTAGAGGTTTGTATAGCCTTTTGTTTTGGTCTGGTCATGCTGGAAGATGTTGCAGGCAGCAGAATGTTTTCCATGGCATCTCCAGACTCTGTCACATGTGCTCAATGTGAAGCTGCTTTCATCTTTGAAGAGCACAGGGCGCCAGTGGTGAAGTTGCCAATCTTGGTGTTCTCTGGCAAATGCCAAACGACTTGCACGATGTTGGGTTCTAAGCACAACCCCCACCTGTGGTCGTTGGACCCTGATGCTACCCTCATGGAGTCATTTCTGACCGTTTGAGCAAATGCACATTTCTGGCCTGCTGGAGGTGATTTTGCAGAGGTCTGGGAATGCTCCTCCTGTTCCTCCTTGACAAAGGTGGAGATAGCGGTCCTGCTCCTGGTTTGTTGCCCTCCTCCATGTCTCCTGATGTACTGGCCTGTCTCCTGGTAGCACTTCCATGCTCTGGACACTACGCTGACAGACACAGCAAACCTTCTTGCCACAGCTCGCATTGATGTGCCATTCTGGATGACCTGCACTACCTGAGCCACTTGGGTGGGTTGTAGACTCCATCTCATGCTACCACTAGAGATAAATCACCGCCAGCATTCAAAAGTGACCAAAACATCAGCCAGAAAGCATAGGTACTGAGAAGTGGTCTGTGGTCACCACCTTTATTGGGGATGTCTTGCTAATTGCCTATAATTTCCAACTGTTGTCTGTACTTTTGCATAACAGCATGTGGAACTGATTGTCAATCAGTGTTGCTTCCTAAGTGGACATTTTGATTTCACAGAAGTGTAACTGACTTGGAGTTACATAGTGTTGTTTAAATGTTCCCTTTATTTTATTTTATTTTTTGAGCAGTGTAGCTTGACCACAGCTGACCTTGTTGTAGACTTTTTTAATAGAAAATTCCACAACAACACAAAACTCTATGGTAGGAGCTTGTTAATAATCTGGGACAGGCAGCTGGGACCACAGTCACTAAAAATACCATCAGTAACACTACTCTTTGGCATCAACTCAACCCACCATATTTGTAGGAAGAGAAATGCTGAGTATGACCCAAAGAAAACCATCCTCACAGTCAAACATCAATGCTTGGGGACTGTTTTTCTGCTAAGGGTACAAGATGACTTCAGTCCATTGAAAGGTAGTGACTTTGCATATCTCCAGACCTCAATCCTGTAGAAAATCTGTGGAGCCACATGAAACTTTGAGTGGCCAAGCAGCAGCCAAGAA